GAGAGAGAGAGAGAGAGAGAGAGAGAGTAAATGAGTGACAGAGTGAATAAGAGAGAAAGAGAAAGAGAGACTACGCTAACGTGCGCAGTTACGCGGACCGTCCGAGTAAAGACACTAATTAGCGTAATTCCCCAGTAGGCACGGCTTTTCCGTGCATCCTGGAATTTCTGACAAATCATCTTTTTTACGTTCCCTTAATGAAACTCGTCGTACACGAAAATCAAGTCGCTCTATAATAGCTTTATCGCAGACCCTTTAAATTCGCCATCGAACTCGCTTCGTCGTAAATATTCGCCAAAGTTGGATTTAAAAAAAAAAACTCGACGCTCGCGCAGGCCGTCAGCGACGCTACAGAAAAGATAGCGAAAGATCGCTGAAAGATTATTACAAAAATTTTTCGACACGGAGATCTAAAACGCGAGTATTAAAATATTCGCTCGGATTTATGAAGCGAATTTGTGAGCGAGAAAATCTACGAATTACGAAATAGATAAAAAGATGGTTTTAAATTGCTCTTTGTTGGAAATACCGTCCTTTTTGCAATTCTTTGAAGCGGAATCTGACGAATCCAGAAATGAATTCGCTGGAAAAGACGCGTCACACAGATCTTTTTCATTTCGAAACGTTCGTTCGTGTAAAGAGAATTTTACAAATCTCGCCGTTTGTACGAGAAGGAAAAAATTTGAATTCTAAACGAAGGATTAAATCGTTGTACGTATATCGTTATTTTTTTACGATTTACTTTCTTCTTACGTACTTAGCGATATTCCAAGTTTTGACCAAATCTGTCAAAGTATCGAATCGGTGCTTCGCGTATCTTTTCGCAGCGCGGTTTCGTTCGGATCGCTTTTACGACCAACTCGACGAAACGTCATCGAGCAGCATCTCGATGTATCTCTAATTAATCCTATCTGTTAGTCGTGATAATAACGATTGCTATTACTCCTAGACACGATCGTTCCCAGCGCTGAACATACAGATATCGAACTAAACTGTGCGCGTCATCATTGTAGAGTTGGTCCAAAAAAAGAAGAAGGAAATTATGTTGTGCAGAGAAGCAATTAGGGATGTCAATAATATCGCCGCGAGCGCACTTTAATTCCGGATCGTCGATTATACGGAACAGTTTTTAATTGACTTATCCGTTCGACGACGTTTCTCCTCCGCGGATATGAAATCATGCACATAATCTGGAAAACGCTCGTAATAGTTAGACATGCGAGGAACGGGAGGAAGAAACAAAAAATTAAAAGCTTACGGGAAAGTAAAAAAGTTACCGTTAACACACGGGAGAGCAACGAGTTCTTGCACTAATATTAAATAAAGATAAATATTAAAGATAATACTCATTCGTTGCTCTGATCGATAATTATTGCGGCATAATTAATAATAAAAGGCGAATTTTTATTTTAAACCAATAAGAACGTGTGCACTGTTAATTTGTGTACCGGCTTCCCTAATTGTAATGACAATTACTTCAATTTGAATGATCAAGGTATTAATCTCTACAGTGGTAACCAAACACGCAAATTACGATACGTATACAACGTGCATCCAAGTACGTTAACTTGAGGCAAATGTAACGAATTTTTCTAACACGAGTGTTTCTGTCTCGACACATCGACGCGAGTATTATTTTTCTATGTATATGTTGTGATTAATTGTTGTCGTCGAGGGGTTTAAACACATTTCATCGGGCTTCCGTTCAAGTAAGTTTGGCTGATCGTAATATGTAGAAGGAGAAAGACACAAGGTGCATTTAAAAGCCGATTTTCGCGCTCCGATCCAAAAGCGTCGCGTCAACTAATTAAGAAAAACAAAAGTATACCAAATGAAAATATCAAAATAGCAAAAACACTTTTGTAAAAAAATCAAAGCAGCACTAGAAAATAAAATGTCAAACAGTTAACATTTATTATTTGAGTGAGTTGATAAGTTAAATCTGCCAGTCATTACGAAATAATGTATAGAAAAAAGATAAAATTGTACGCTTAAAATACGTCGAGTAATAGTTCAATCTTTGTTGTAAATGAATTGTTCTTCCCTTCGAAACACGAAGAAACGCGACATTAACGAAAGAATTCTCGATTAATCACGTCAAAATCGATTAATCACATTTCCAGAGATGTTTTTCTATCAGCAATATTAACTATTCGCAAATTACGATGCCATAGAATGTAGGATTCGACGTGCATTTCGATCAGCGAAATAATCAATCGGTTCCGCTTGGTCGTGCGAACGCGCAAATGTTATATCCGACAATCCCGAGGTGACGTGAGAAAAAAAATTGCATCTCATTGAAGAAACAACGGTTTAACTTATGTCACGCTGTACACAGGGCCTAATAAATAAAGCGTAGCGTTTAAATGAGGGAGTCTAGCGACTCACTGCAATGGCAATTATAAAGCGGCGTAGACATTTAAAAAGTGTCTGGCGGCAGATCAGACACACGCAGCAAGTGCGAATGTGAGACCGCGATGAAAGGACTGATATGTAGATATCTATGTAAATTGCGAGAACGAGAACAAGAAATGGGGACGACAGTGCGAGAGAAAGACAGCGGCTATAAGCGAATTGAGTTGGGGTAAAATTGACTCGGCTGTAACACATGCACGCACATTTTGTACTTATCTGTCGTTTTAAGTATAGTATATATTTAATAATTAATCAGACGTATCTTATATGAGTTTCCGAGAGGTGCGTATATTTCTTCTTATTTTCCCATCAAAGTTATATTCTTTATTTTTCCTATAAGAGATAACTTTTTTAAGTATTCTTTTTTAGAAAAGTAGTGACTGTCGAAACTACGGGCTAAAAGGCGAACGTTTAGTCTTTCCGCCTGGCATGTAATTTCGCGAGTTAATCTTATTCCATTCGATAATAGCTGATAAGAGAGAATGAGAGAGTGAGAGAGAGAGGAGAGAAAGAGAAAGAGAGAGAGAGAGAGAGA